TGACTTTGATAGGTCGACCTATAGACCAAAAATCTTGATTTTTTGCATTATTTTCTTTTTCTTTTGTAAAACTATACGAAACCGGGATTTCAAGCATACTTATCACCTTCAACCTCTGTTATATGCATACCCACAATCAAACTATGCATAATTATTTTTTGATTGAATGACAAGCTATATTAGGTTTGATAACGTCCAATTTAGGTTGTTTGTACTGTAAATTGGGATGAGTTCTTTGAAGGTTTCAAATAAGAAAACCGAGTTGGGATTTTCCTTCAAGATCGTTAAGGGATTTGAAGGTTTTGGAAAAGATTACGCGATTCAAATTTGATCAAGTGAAAGCCTTAGGACAAAGGGGTACCTTGTAAATGAGTAGCGTGATAAGGTGGATCATTTTGATAAATCTTGGGTTTCAACAAGTGTGCGCTTGGGATTAATTCAACCGGTGAAAGCCTTGGGACAAGAGGTGCCTTGCAAGGAAATAGCAACAACAGGGGAATTAAAGCAGCATTGTTGGTTGCTAGATCAATCTTTGATCAAGGGTTTTGGAAGTGATATAATCAACATAAAACTTAGGGTTAAAGGGTTGGATTGTTACATCTCTTGTATTCATACTTTTGCAAAGTAAGGTCAATTTCAATTATCTCAATTCGAATTTGAATTAAGGACAGATGTACCCATAAAGAGGCCGATTGGGGAACTACCTAAATAAATCCTTGTGTACTCCCTCGCTCTCTCTCTCTCTCTCTCTCTCTCTCTCTCTCTCTCTCTCTCTCTCTCTCTCACACACACACACACACACACACACACACACACACACACACACACACACACACACACACACACACACACACACACTCTATCCTTTCTCTATCTCTCCATATCTATCTATCTATCTATCTATCTATCTATCTATCTATCTATCTATCTATCTATCTATCTATCTATCTATCTATCTATCTATCTAAAAATGAAATAGATTTTGTTTGACAAGGGGTATATTGGACTACTATGCTAAAATATTGTATTGATTTTTATAAAGGTTGCCAAGACTGTAAAAAACATGCAGGTATTCAACATGTCCCTGCAAATGAATTACATTCGATTGTTAAGCCTCGGTCATTTAAAGGTTGGACATTATATTTAATTAGTAAAATTTTACCCACATCATTTGAGGGTCATAACTACATCTTGGTAAGCATATATTATTTTACCAAATGGGTTAAAGTTATGCCTTTGGAGAATGTTGATCAAGAAGCTGTGATCAATTTTATTCAGAGTCACATCATTTACAGGTTTGGAATTCCTGAAACCTTAACCACTGACCAAAGGTTCTTTGGACATGTATCTACACCATCAATCAGACTCAAGATCCATGTCAAAATAAAGTGGTTCCATTCTCGAATACAAACCTCATGCCACCTTACCAGCGTGCACCTTGTGACTCCTCTTTTGTAGCCACGTAACAATGAAATGAACGAGAATACAATTTTATATAATATGCATATGCAACTCAACACATATGCAACATCCCAATATATTATAAACATGTGTAATAAATTTAAAGGATGAAGTGTATATGGGGATTCTACTCAGTTCTAGTACCACGCAGGAAGCCAACAAGGTATGTCGATTGAAGAAAATATTATATAGACTAAAACAGACCTATTAAGCATGATTTAGAATATTCATAAAGGAAATGTTGTGTTTGGGCTATAAGAAAAGTCAAGGAGATCACACATTATTTTTTAAACATACACAAGGAGGAAAGAGGATTATACTTTTGGTTTATGTTGGCGATATTATTATTAGGAGATGATTTGAGTGAGAGGCAACAACTTAAAAAATAAATTATTATTATAATTTAAAATGAAAGACCTTGGAGAACTAAGTACTTATTAGGAATTTAGATTTCTCATTCAAATAAAGAAATTTTTATCTCTCGGAGAAATTTGTGCTTGATCTTTTGTAGGAAATAAGAAAACTTGAATGCAAATCTACTGGTGTTCCTATTGAACGAACCATAAAAGAGCTATGAAAAGGAAAGTGTCAAACTTGACAAAGGTCAATATTAGAGGTTAGTGGGAAATTTGATTTACTTGACACATACTAAATCAAATTTGGCATACACAATTAATATGGTAAGTCAATCCATGCATGATCCGAGGGTGAGACACTTGCAGGCAGTTTATCATGTTCTAAAATATTTCAAAGTCGCTTCTGTAAGAGGATTGCTGTATAAAATATATTGAATCTAACTATTGAAGCTTACACTGATGTTGATTATGCAGGTTCATTGGTTGATAGATTACCTACTTATGGCTATTGTACATTTTTGTGTGAAAACCATGTTGCTCGAGGGAGTAAAAAGTAAAGTGTAATTGCTCGATCAACCGCAAAAGTAAAATTTAGCATTATGACATTAGGAATTTGTGAACTATTATGTATTAAACAAGTGTTATAAGATTTAAAGATACAATGTAAAGGTCTTATGGATTTATTTTGTGACAACATATCAACCATCAATAATTCACGCAATCCATTTCAACATGAAATGACTTAACACACTGAGATTTAAGCAAAATTTCTTCAAATAAAAGTTGGATAATGGATTGATAATTATTGCCTACATACCTTTTAGGCATCAATTGACAGATGTTGTAATAAAGGATCTACCAAGAGAACAATTCAACCAACTTACTTGCATATTTGGAATGATTGACATTCATTGACTAGCTTGAGAGGGAATGCTGAAAATACTGACTTTTATAGTTATTTTATTTTGTTTTATTAGTATGAGACTCATTAAATAAGTCCATTAGATTTAGATTTATCTATATTTAAACTATTTTATTCTCATATTATAATTCAAAAAATTGAAATATATGAAAATACTTTTTCTACATATATTTATCACATAGTATTTTAGAAAGAGTTACATGCAACTTCAAGATCACACAGACGCACACTTCATCAAATTTCTCCATAGAATGAGCATACTTTTTTAGTTTATTTATTATTTCCAATATTGCATCATATTATCTTGGATTATGAGGAAAACTAACCATTTAATCCATATTTATACCATCCTATCTCTACTCTGGTACACTCAACGGTTGCAACAAATTAGACATTCTTTGATGTTCAACCTTATCCTTTATAAATTCAATGTCTATCTTGTTGTTCATATTAACTTCAAAAACCATGAGAATTATCTTGCTTATCTTTATTTTCTTAGCTAAAGTTCTTGTAAATCATTTTCACACATCAAAGAATTTTCCTCACTCACTTTTAAGAGGTTTGAAAATTTGATGTTTTAAGACTTATTTTCAACCTTTAAAGTTTCACACTCCATTTAAAGTGTGTCATGACGCTCTTATGAAATATCATGAACTTTATTAGTTTTTTGTATTTATAATACATACTTTGTATTTTTCTCGACAATTTGTTCAAGTATAAAACTTATTCATCATAAGATAAGTGGAGAATGCCACATTTTTATCATCATCGTCTGATGAATCTTCTAGATCAATATTAGATAAAATGCTTCCTATAAAAGATACATTTATATGTACACCGTCTTTATAAGAGGAATCATTTGAGTCATCCCATTTATCCTAAGTAATATCAAAGTTTAGGACATTCATTTTCTAAGTGTACATGATCCTTGCATTCATATAAAATGATCTTCTAGTCAGCATATTATCATCTAATGCTTCAAGGATGTTGAACTTTATGAGTACTTGAAGTCTACATCGGGAATTTTATGAGTACTTGAAGTCTACATCGGGAATTTCTTATTTCTCTTATTCCAAGGATGTTGAACTTTTCCGAATAGAAGTGAAAGCTTGTTATCATCTAATGCTTCACTTTCATCCTCTAGCTCTTATTCATCTAATTCTTCATCTTAGAAGTCCTTTGTCATGGTTTTATTGATTTTAAATAAGTGAAATACACACAAGCTTCTTTCTAGAATCATATTCATTTAATTCTATCTCACAATCTAGAGGAAGACAATGAGTTCTTCTAGACCTAACTCGTTTAGATCATTTTCTCATTGAATGACTGACACCTTAGGTCTGCATCTTTTAGGAGAACTTTATCCTTATCTTCTTTCACATGATCAACAATTGTATAACTCATGTCAAGAATCCTTAATGTTCAGAATCTTGAAAACATAAATTCTATATTTTCATATTCTATCTTTTAAAACAAATCGTATTTCATAAACATAACATTTGTTCTCAACTCCGTTTGTCGTCGCCATACAAAAAAAAGTCATAAATACTTTTGAAAAAATTTAGAATTGTTTCAAACTTCTTGAAGGTGATATTGTTCCTGAGGTAACTTTTTAGTTTGTGATGCATTTTGAAATATTTGATTTGATTTACCTCTACATTGTTCCCTTCACATTTGTAGTATTTTTCACTATAACCAAAACTAACTACAACCACTAAGGTATGTTCTTGTTCAAATGACAATACTTAAGATTTCTCACACAAATAATCTAAATTAACTAAGTCTCTTTGTCTTCTTAAAGTAACAAAATTCAATTTACCTTTTGAAGAATTATAACTTTGAAATGAAAGTATGTTTAAGTATTTCCAAAATAACTCTCACACGGGAGAAAATAAAATATGCATATATGAATGCTTAGATTTTAACATAAAGTATTTGATATGAGGTTCACTTGTGACTTATAATATTTTCTCTTTGGACTTATTTCTTCTTAAATATTGCAAAATAACTTTGTGAATAAGCTTAATTGATGAAACACTTCTTGTTATATGAGATGTATTTTTTATTTTGCATTTTTTAGAACATTTGATCAAATTGAAGTTGGAGATGTGATAGCAACATAAACTATAACAACACAAATTGAATTTATCATCTAGCCACAAATACTAACTACAAACCAATCTAGAACATTAAAGAAATTGATAATAAGTATAATACCAATAGTACCAACACAAATTGTAACACCAACATGAAAAAAAATCTTAGTATCTTCGCGACCCCATTTTCCTTAACGACGAGGCTCTAGGAAAGTCGTTGCTAACACTAACACGAGGTAGTTGAGGGTGATTATTTTGTTGTCCCCCACTCTCATTAACCTTCCAAACCTTAACAGACTTATCCAAACTCCCACTATATAAAATCCATCTTTTCTCATTCAACATCGCATCAGGATCCTTCTCGGCGGCGAGACATTTCACCGGCCCGCTATGTCCCGACAACACCGTCATACAAGCATGTTCGTTACTCATTGATCTTTTCCACACACAAATTGCCATGTCCGCAGAACCACTGAATACCAAACTTCCAGCCGTCGCTAAACATAAAACCGCCAATTTATGACCCCTCAAAACTCCACTGTGTTCCAAATTTGTTTCCCTCACCCAATAATTAACCAACCCATCCGAAGAACCTGCGTATAAAAACGTCCCTTCCGAATTCAACGCTAAAGCTGTCACCGCACATTCTTGTTTCAATAACGTCTGTGAAAAAAAATGTTTCGTAGTTTTCCCTTGCATTTCGCGTCGCCACATTTTGACTGTACCGTCGGCTGAGCCGGTGAAAACTAAAACGTCGAATCCGACGACAAGCGCGTTAACTGCGTCGTCGTGAGCCGTCACTGATTCCAAACATTTGTAATTCGAAGAACGCCAAACTTTAAATGTTTTATCCCACGAAGCTGAGTAAATTAACTTATGATCTTCCGTTAAACTTAGACACGAAATTGCATCATAATGTTTGATCCATAACATATTACGATGTTTTTTAACTTCTACGTAGTTACTTGGTTTCATCGAACACTTTATATAATTTCTTAGCGTCGGCAATGTTGCGACTCTTCTGTGAACCCGTTCGTTCTTCCCGGAAACTTTCCAAACACGGATTCTTCCGTCTTGATGTCCGGTGAGAATTTTCTCACCGGCAATAACAATTGCCTTAACTAAACCGCTGTTTGATTTAAACCCTGCAAACTCATTTTGATTTTTCCAAACACGAATGTTTTTGCTGTCGGAACCGGTGTATAATAAATCCTTAGTTGCAGCGAGTGAGTAAATGTGACCTTCCTCGCGGACTAATGAACCAACAAGAGCTTCTTCGCTGGAAGATGAAGCGTCTTCGTTGAGATGTGAGGACCATGGTGATTTTGATAATGGAGAGAGAGTAGCGTCGAATGGAGAGTTATCAGCGGCCATAAGAGGATCTAAATGGGGAGCGTCGATGGTGATGACGGGGCTGTTTTTTCTTGGATGATTCTCAGAGTTGTAACCATCGAATTCGTCGTCACTCTTTTTTAATTTTCCATATTTTCTACCGAGGATGCTTCCATTTTTTGATGAACCTGGCATTTTTATGGGTAATGTTGATTACTTAGATGCTCTCATGAAAAGGTTTTGGTTGTTTTACAGAAAGAATACAGAATAATGGTTTGGTGTTGGGAATGAATGACAAGGTTGTTTGTTATGGCTAATTGTGTTATGCCATGTCATGTTTAGGATTAGGTGATGTCTAAACTAGGATTGTGTGATTTTAGACATGGAATTAGTCAACGTAATTTATTGGTTTATTTTCTTTTTGAGATAATTGTTGCTTTTTATGATTCATGCAACAAAATATTCAACTTATATTGGTTGTCTAATGTTACACTAATTTTAATTTTGAAAAATATAGATAAAATACTGCTCCTTCTTCATTTTTAAGTGTTATTATTTTATTTTCACATATAAAAAAACTAATGAATCTTATTACTTTTCATACAATAATTTTTTTATCTATAATACTCTCAATTATTTATTACATTCATTTTAGTTTTTTTTCTCTAAAATAATTATCTAAAGACAATTTTAATAAAAATGTATTTAATAGAATCTTAGACTTTACGAATAACAATTAAAAAGAAAAAAAAAATTAAACTGTTAATAAATTTATTGTTTGTATAGCTAGATACAACATTCAATAAGCATAAAGAGATACATGAATTTACAATGATTTTGAATGATTTTGAATTTACAATTATTATTTTTATTAATATGAATCAAAATCAATAATTTAACTCGTAAATATTATATATCAAACACTTGCATTAAATTTGTAGAAAAATTATACTTTATTATTTCTTACTTTCTTACATTACTTTATCCATATAAATTAGTTTAAAATATATATAACATTTTTAGTTTAAAATTATTTTTAAAGTTATAAAAATATAAGTATTACCAAACAAGTTTAACTTTATTTATAAAGCTCTTATTTTTAACTTTAGCTTAAAAGCAAATTTTACAACAGGAAAAAACTCGGTCAAACAATACCTTAGCCTTGCAATATTTAATTTTCAATTTTTATATGTTTACTCCTACCATATCTCATTGGATATTTGTTAGATCAATTGTTGTATCTTATCAACTAATAGCTTGATCTTCAGACTTCATTAACATTCAACTCTTACAATCGTATTTCAAACAGCAATGGGAATTACGACCTTATCTTGATGGTCATTGCGGTCGTAATGGCCCTAGAGGCAAACTTTCCAAAATTGACATTTCACGACACAAGGTTGAGAGTATTAGGGTTAAGTTGTAATGGTCTCAACTATCTTTAAACTTTCTGCATTTTGTTGTTTCATTTCTGGTCCTTCCACTTTCCAAAGTGTTACAATTTAACATTAAGCCTCTCTAATTGAAAATTATGTCTATTTTAAATAGTTTTAAGAATATAAAAACACACTGTAACCTGTCGTTATATATTTGTAAAGGGCCTATTAAGGGCGAGAGGTTTGCAATGCTCCATGGGGATGCCCATCTTTCGCATTCCATTAGGAACTATGTCACCTTAAGGGGGACTTACTCGCTCAGTTGTGGGAAACTCCGAAAAAGACATACCTTTGTCAAAGAAAAGTGAGGGTCAGCAGGCTAACCCACGTCTTCGTAGAAAATATAAATTCAACGGTCTACCATGGACTAGGTGGGCAGTTATCATTTTAAGCCCTAGGCCTAAGGGCATCTATAATACCTCACTTATAGCAAATGAGATGACAACTTGTGATACATACGACATACACCTAAAAACACAAAGCTTCTCACCTCATATGAGCTTTCTCTCTCCATAACCAAAAATACCATCAGACGGGGTCTCTCATCACCACGGGTAAGCTCTAAATCACCAGAAAACTACTAAGGCATTTGATCACCCCTACTAAAGAGTATCACACAATCTTATACTTTTTGATAAGTAAGTGGCGCTAAATATGGGCCCTTAATAAAATTAACCTAGAAAACACCTTTGTCTTTACCATTCACCTTCCCTTGAAGATTATCAACAAATCCCTACTACCTATGGTTAACACCATAGCCAAAGTTTTTGTCGATGAAGGAAATATGCCAGGAAAGTACTGGTAGCAAACGTGGAAAAATGACCTAAAAATGAGCATCATCTTTTCTGCCTCAAAAAATTTATTAACGAAAGACAAGTCATTCGTAGACACAACAACAACAACTTCCTCGTGCATGTGAGGGAATCTGATAAGGAAGAATACCAGGTAGACAGAGAAATAAAGTCAGTGACCATGAAGCAACATCCTAAGATAGTTAGGTCAACTTAGTAGAACCATCTTCTAGCGGGGAATGATGGTATTCATATTGTCCCCTCTTCACTAAAGCAGGAGATTATGGCTGATCTTCCATAGATAGGATAGTCGGAATAATGGCAAGTTGATTAACCCTGGGGGCAGCTAGTGTAGTCTCAATAATCGGGATAGGATCCAAGACCATATGAGGAGGCGTAACATCCTGTACTATATAATCATTCTTGATGCAATTAGTGTTAGTGAAGTCGTAAAGCAACTTCAATTTATCCATATTTTTTACAAGTAGCAATCACACATGTAAAAAAAACTATGGGACTCCGTCTTCACCAAATATTTCTCTCCTCTCCTCGCTAAAGACTGCACTCACGGTCGCATAAGTATCAATTCATTTTTGTCCTTTTTGGGGTTAAGGGGACCTAGATTGAGGCGGTAAGAATTGATAATAGAAAGGAAGTGAGTCGAATACCAATACTTAAGAAATCTACTTCTGCAAAAGTGAGAAGACTCAGACAGAGAGTAGTAGAAGGCGAGATGAGCCTTCGAACTGAGGGGCTTCACTAGTATGAAATACATCAAGAAGTCGCCACAGTTTTTGGTTATACGGTTAAATCAGGGATCATTTTGGATGAAAGGTAATAAACCTTTGATCACAGGTGTCATCCTATAAGGCGCACACCATGTAGAACAGGGCGAGGAACAACATGGGAGAATGCTTCCAAGACTTATGATCATTATAAAACAGACACGCCCTCATATAAACCTAGTGATGTCATTCCAAAGCTAATTTTAATGAAGAAAAATGATCAAAAGTATTGCATATCAAAAAGAAGATTTCAAGTGGATATATTAATGATGTGTTGTTAATATCTTTAAAGATTCAAGGTATATAAATTTCATAAACATATAAATATCTTAGTTCTCAATAATCATTAACATACGTTTTATCGTACTCAAATCATTTCATCATCTTAGATATATGATTTTCATATCATAAACATTTCTTAGTGCTCAAAATATTTTTTATCTTGCATTGGAAATTTTATTTTGCATGTTTGAACCGTGTTAAATCACTTTCAAATATAATCTATTGACTTGGATAAATCAATATATGTTGCATAAGGTTGGTTCAAATACTTAAACAATTTTTCAATTTTTTCAAACATTCCGATTTTGGTAAATTGTGGCATTTGAAACTATCGTAACAACATATAAAAACCGCCACAATTTGCACCGGTCTCAAACAATATTTGAAATTTGAGATTTGAAAAACTTTGTGAACTTGTTAAGTCAAGTGTCCATTTAACTGACTTAACAAATCCTGTAGCAGAATAGTAAAATGTTTTATTTCATTGCATTTATTCATATTCTCTTCTCATGACAAACCTTACATCTTTTCAAGGATAAATATTCTGATTTTCCATCAACCATTGCCATATTTTTGAATGATGGTTATCATCTCTATAAATTGATTTTAAAGTTATATTTTTCAATCACCTCTTTCAAACCTTTTTAAAACTCTATATTTTCAAAACAAAATTTTCATAAAGATACACTGTAAATCATTATTTTTCATATCATATTCATCAAAGTATCTTGAGCATTATAGAGTAGTATTTATTGTGATTTCATATTGAAAGAGAAGATGACTATAATAATTTGATTAAGTCTTATTTATACTACAAATCTTCATATATTCATTTTATTGAAATTGTTGTAAAAATTTCTAAGTTCCAAGGATTGTTTGGAATTAAGTGTGTAATATAAGAAGGATAATTTTTTCTTCTTATAGGGTTCGTTGAAAAATCTAAGAAGATTATTCTTGGTGGTTTACTTAGGATCTTATATAGAAATAAAAGTATTTTCTTATTCATAGGGATCTAACTATAATTAAATCTCTTTCATGTTGAAAGAGGACTGGAGTACTCTCAGATTGTGAGGGGAACCAGGATACATCATTGCATTCTTTACTTTTCCATATTTTATCACTTTCATCACATAAACTTAAATTGGACGAAGGAAAGACATCTCTAAGATAAAAGAAATTTTTATACACCTAATTCACCCCTTCTTAGGCTTACTCTATAAACTTACAATTGGCTTCAGAGAAGGTTATAGGTAACCTATTCCTAAAGATCCAGAATGGCTTTCGCAAGTGCAAATCTGATTTTCAAAGACGGTGGTAGTAGCAATAAACTGTTAGAACAAGATTTGTTCATGAAATATTAATAACAATCATAATCAAAACTAACATGGTGGATAGAATTAAAGTAAATGCGAGTGCAATAATTAAAATAAGAAATAAAACTGTAAAATAAAATGCAACTTGAATTGAAATATGCCGACAGGCTTCGTTCGTGATCCAAGAGTACAACAATGAAAAGAAAGTAAAAATAACACGTGCAACAATCCCTCGATGTGATTTATTGTCGCTTTACAACTGACTTGTGCCTAGAATACTAAACGGAAATTCTGCAGCGCTTCCGCACGTCTTGGATGCCCTAAGAAGTGTCTAGAGACTGGAGGATATAATAGGAATTGGAAAAACTGCTGCTGAAATAAAAACTGCACCCTGTGTTGTAATGGTGAACACCATTAGGGCATGGCGAATGCCATTGCCCCCTTTCATTAATTGACGTGACAGTTGGGAGATGGAGAACTCCATCTACCCATGGTGAATGCCATATCAGCATAATTGCTTTTTTTTGCTGCATTTTCTCCATTCTTTCACTCTTCTTCCGATTTGCTTTCAATTTTGCAACGGATAAA